CCGGGGCGACCAACCCTCGCCTTTCGACGCCCGCCGCCGGGCAACCCACCTCGCCTCCTCCCCGCCGACACTTGCAGGCCCCACAGCAGGGCCCCTGCCGCTGGCACAGGCCCGGCTCAAACCATGGCGGCCCAGCCCCGCACCTCCTCACCTCAGCACCGCGCCTTGCACCGCCCTCAGTCGGCGTGAGGTGCGGCGCTGATTAACGCCGAAATTGCACACCTGCAAGACACGGGCGCTTGGGAATCTGGAGTCACGGTCCCAGCGTCCTGCACCTGCTGTCACAGCCGTGAGTTTTTACAGAAACACAAAAAAAGCCACTTGGCAAACTCTCATTTCTGCAACTTCAATTGTTTCGTCTTCCTCTGCAGCCATAAGGCTCACGTTTCTTTCTCTTTTGCTTGACAGCTTGTAAAAATGGTGACATGATATCCTGGCTGGTTGACCTGGGAAAACATCAAGTAAGGAAAAAAAAGGTTTAGTAAAAATTGCAAAAATCACAACACTGGCTCCACGCCCCGAACTGGACATTGCCCCCCAAATTGCAAGAGGACTCTTAAAAGTGGTTAAAAACTGCCCTGGCTGAGAGATCGCCATGCCCAGTTTTGATCTTACCAACCTCCAAACTAGCAAACCAATACTCAGAAAAAACAGCATCACGTCCAAGGTTTTCACATCTCTGAGGACTTCTGGGGAACAATCCCGACCAGCTCCTCTCCCAGAGCAGCCAGGAAGCATTTTTGCCGCGACGTAAGAAGCTGGCATGGCAAAATAGAATTTTTTATTTAAAAAAATAATTAGAAATTATATTTAATTAAGACACTTCTGCCTATATGCCCCACCTTTCCAGATCATGGAACCGTCTCGCCAACACCTTGTAACGTAACTGTCTGCAAGGACATATTTTGGGGTCTGACTGGGATTTATACTAGACTCTAAAATATTTAACATCTTTATCAATAGCCTGGAAGAAAGCAGACTATCGCTGATAACCTTCACAGATGACACGAGGCCTGAACGAAGGGTAAATAATGACATGGAGAAGGCACAGGTACAGGGTGACCTGATCATTTGGCAGCCGGGGGCAAGCAAACATGCGTTTCAATAAGGTCATCGATGAGCTCATTCGTTTAAGAGCAAAGAGTGGAGGCTATACTTACCTGACATAAAACTTTATCCGGGGAAGCACAAAATGGAAAGGACAAACGGGTCATGGTGGACTACCAACCGCCAAGATGGTGCCGCAGCCAAAAAACCCCAACTTTCCTGCCACCGCAGATGTATAAACAGAAATCACAAGGAGGAAAGAAGTTGTATGACATCCAGAGGTGCTGCTGCCTGCTGAAATAGCGTGTCTAGTTTTGACGTGTTGATAAAGTAGAGAAACCTGAAATGGCACACAAAAATCACCAAGCAATTAGAAAACCTCTCTCAGTGAAACATATCACAGAAGATCAGTCAATTTAACTTACTGAAGAGAGAGCGAAGGAGTTGCAAGACCGTAAAATAGATGTAATGGCAATAGGGAACAAAAAAAATCAGTAATAGTTTTTTCAGTGTACCTGGCAAAAGTGTCAGAAGTTGAAGCTAGAAAATGTTAAAAAGAAAAAAAAGCCAAACAAAAACGCTCTGTGCTCTCTACGGATTTCATCTGGATTTTTTTTTTTCTGGAAAAATACCCCTCCCTATAATAAGAGTAACCCAGTAAAAGTGTTACAAACGAATGCACAGAGCCATTCATTGCTAACACCTATCTTTTTTTATTTTACTTTCACACCTCCTCAGTGTGCCTCAGCAGAACCACTGACCGGTTGGTTTAGCTACAGAACTAGGGGAAGGCTTTCGAAGTAGAAGTTTGCTTTACTGTGCAGAAACTGTGGCAGTTTGCACGGGAAAGCACGAAAGGAATAACGCCGATGGCTACCGCTTGAACACCGTTCCTACTTCTTGCAAAACTGAAGTTTCTTCCAGAGCAGACCTGAATCGTGCATTAGTACCTCTAACAGAAGTTCTCAGGCACTGACAGAGTTTAACATCAGAGTGCTGCAAACAAAACAAACAAAACCCTAGTATGTATGTATAAAACCAGTCTCCCTGGTTTTATTTCTGCCTTCTGTATTCTTGTATCTCTGGCACAGAACACGGTAGGCTAAGAAAACCCTACTCTAATTATAATTTCCACCGAGAGAAGACCTTCTAGATCTGCTTCTTCCAAATACGATGAATAGCACATGTTCGCTTTAATGATACCCACTTGTCCTCTAAGTCCAAACCTTTTTATCATGCACCCCACCAGTAAAAACTTTTTGAGCGTGCGCCCCTATTATATGGGGTACTACTGTACTACTATATTATGTACATTATGAAACATACCCAAACATTTACATTAAAAAAGGATGAGATAAAGAGGAAATAAACACTATTTTAAAAATATTTATTTTATTAAGTGCACAAAAAGTCTTTTCTTCCCACACCGCGCTTTGGAGACCACTGCTCTCCGTATGAAATTATTTCAGCCTATCCCGATGTGTTGTCTCAGCGAGCACAATTTTACCTGAATCCGTTCTACCCTCTCCTCTTTGCTCGGGGGTGCAACTTCCGTTGGTTAGCACTCATCTGGTCACCTCTGAGCCTGCCTTCACCTAGGTTCTAGCAGAGTAGGGCAGTTTCAGACAATTTGGTGGGGTTTTTTTGGTTGTTTTTCTAATTAGGTCTGCAAATCTCTATTCCTTACAGAAGGTTTTGGAATCACAATCATTTAGAAACTACTACGCTTTCTTTTACAGCCAAATGAACCTCTGTTCCTTCTCAGCATTTATCATCATTAATGATTTACAGGTAAGGAACTGATTTTATCTAGATGCCTGTCCTTACATAAAAGCATATGTACAAGCTGGAATAGAACCACATTTAAACTGTCAGTAAAATAGAAAATGTAAAAAAATTTGAAAAAAACCCAAACTCACACCTCACTACCAGAAATGCTTCAAGTGCAGAAATTTTAAGGGGCGGGTGTGTGTAACAAACTAAATCAGCAACCCTGCATATTTCCTGTGCAGATAGTTCTGCTGTGCATCTTTTACTGATTTTGCCACAAAATTAGAAGGCTACCATAATGTATCATAAGCGTGACAGAACTGTGAACAAAGACATGAAATCTTTTCCCCTGCTACTGTTGGAAATACCTCGGCATTTCCTGAGAGGAAGATTTAAGGAACGGTACAAACGCTGACAGGACAAATTTCACAAGCGTATTTGAGAAAGGCAGGACCATCAGAGAACCAGTCGCTCTAAAGCAGAAGTGGCCGAACGCACGGCCGCGATTACCGTATCTGCCGTGAGCGTGTGGTTACAAAGGCTTTAGGTTCAAAACTACACAGCACCCAGCGGCTGCATTTTTTCAGAGCTGCGTCAAGGGCTAGGTAAGATGGGTAGAACATACACCCAAGCCGAGCCAGTCGCTGTTGCTTCAGCAGAAAATTTTGTTCAGGGAAAAGGTTTACACGTATCTGGTGAGGTCTGGGAGGAGGAAAGCGCTGTGGAAATCTAGGAGGGGGGTGAGGAGAGGGTGGAGGCTGTCCTGGTGACAAAACATCTCACTACATCTCTTGGACCTTGGCACATCAGGTGCTGAGCTTTCTAGAATATCTATGCAGAAGTGCTATGAGGGGAATTTCCACGTGCTGAGTATCTTTGACAGCTTGGCTCTACCTCAGTGAAATGAGCTCTGGGAAGAGTAAGACCCCACATGACACCCTAAGTGAATCAATACCACATAAAAACCCACAAAGCTTACGGACTAATGACAAATACGCCGGTGGCTGCTTGACGTAATTACAATAGCTTCATTATTCATGACAATGCTTCCTATTATCTTTGCGAATCTTCTGTCCGGATAAGGGGGTGTCACATCCGTAATATGGCAACACCCAGTGACACCCACAAGTCTATTTACAGCATTCAAGAAATACAGAGCAAATTCAAGAGAACAGAGTTGATCCCTGTTGGAAAAGGTTTACCATCTAATTTTTTATCTTAGGAAGTAAGGCTATTAAACTACAGGGAGACAACAAAGTGAGGAATCGCACACACAAATACATGGACATACGCTTATCTTTATGGTTCCATCAAGCTTTTTTAAAAGTTACTCACTTTTTTGTCTGCTCTGGGATGGGGAGAGTGAATTTCAAGAAGGAGTATGCAGTAGTGTGAGATGGAAGGAGAGAAGTTTGTGCCTGATTTCTAAAGCTGGCAACTGCATGTAAGCTGTTAGGATCTAAGTGCAGAGTAAAATAACATGTAGGTCCATCTTCGCAAGAGAGGCCGAACTCCTAAACACCACAGACCATAAGGTTCAGCTGATCTTCTACTCTAGTACTGATGGAAAGAGAATGCCTCTATGTCCCAGTGCTTCTTGGAACAAAAAAACCTAAAACACGTTCCTTCAAGCAGAGATAAGCAAAGATGACACAAAACGCACGTCTGCACTGAATCCATCAAAAACCATTTCTGTAAACGGTAAGATACTTGGGCATTTTCACACAACTCGTAGCTGAAAAGTAGGTATATCTTTTGTAATCTCCAAACGGTGAGAAGATGATTTTAAGCCTGTGCTTCCTTACAGGTTCACACTCGTGCCTGTGGCATACAAATCGATAATCTAAGCCAGGGTGGTTTTATACACCATGATCTTTTTTCAGAGTTTGTGGTGCCTGAATTACACTTACTGAGAGAATGAAATCCTTACACATTGCATGAAAAATAGTCAGCTAGAGTCCACTAGTGCCCTACTGATAGGAAGGCAGTTGTACATAACTAGCTCCTTATTAGACATCAGCGTCTCTATACAAGAGTGTCCACCTAAATATCCCTTGATCCAGCAGCCAGTCGTTTAATAGCAGCTGGCTGCTTTTCCAGGTGCCTGGAAGTCTAGCAGGTACCTGCCGCACAGGAGCGCGTAACCTGAGCACTGGCAGAGTGAATCTGAGTGCATCCAGAGTGCACTGAACGGACTAATTTGCTGTCCATGCAGTTTGGAGTTGCTCTTTGCCGTGGAGACATCCATACATGCGATTTACCTGCCTGGGGCTCGAGCACGCTCCGGTAAGCCATTTACTCAAAGCTCTGAGAATCCTGAAGATGCGCCTGGCCTGTGAACATGCAGGGGGGAGGGAGGGGAAGGAGAAAATGAATTTATCTGCAGAAGAGAGGAAGGATGATGAAGACCAGTAGTAGAAGTTTCAAATTAGTTTGGTGTAATGAATTCGGTAGTTTAAAAAGTAAGAATTTTCATTCAAAGGGCCGTCTGTAAGGTAAGCCACAGCTGGAGTGATATTGATATTGCGAATGAAAGATGAAGGAAATCAGAGCTCTCTAAGAGAAGCAAGCACTGTACCTAACAACGGCTCAAGAGCCACACAGGCGGCTCGGCCAGAAGAAGGAACAAACCACTGCTCTGAAGACAAGGACTGTGGCCGATAAAGAAGCCTGTGTGGGAGCGGGAACATCAAGTCAAGTTTCAAATTGCAGAAGAACACACGACACACTGAGAAACTGCCCTAATACATTCATAAAACCGGGTGTGAGGAGCCCAGGGGTAGGGGAACCGGTGGGGCTGCAGGGCAGGAGAGAGGCACTGGCAGAGCAGTGGAGAGCCTGGGACTGACAGAGAACAACTAACCGCAGGGCAGAATGGAGATGGTAGTTTTAAATGTTTTTCCCTAAATATTTTTGTATGAGAGAATTACTCTCAACAGAAAACAGCAATCATAAATGGACAAAGAAAGTAAAAACCTCCAAGCCTCAGAAAAGTTGAACTTGCCCTGAAAAGCAATTTATACAAAATGTTTTCAGTAAAGATAAAGAATGTGGCACCTGAATTCACCGTTCTCTGACTTCTTCTGAGCTGGTGCAATCTTGAACCTCTGCAAACTAGCAATATCCTGTCCTAAAATATAAAAGGTTCAGAATCTTGAAAACTACCTTCCCTTCCCCCCAAATAAAAGCAGAACCCAGACTTGGTTCGCTTATACAGGCAAATGCAAAATGAAGATAAAATCAGTAAAACTAAACCTGATTTTAAAAAAAGAAGCAAGTGTTTATTCTGAAGACAGGGTTTTGACTAATCAGAGACTCTTGTCTGCTGCCTATGCGATTGGCTAAAAGTATATAAATTACCCCCCCAAAACCACTTTTCTCCTCCTCCCTCTCCTCACTCCTCCCCCCTCGCTAACGTGTTTTTTAAAGACGACCTTGAGGGGAAGGGTAGGGGGAGCTCAGAGCCTTCCTCAGAGCGGGGAGATGAGGACAGCTTGGCCAGAAATGGAGCTCATTGAGCTTTCACCCGTGACTACAGTCACTTTCAGCTATGACTACTACTACGATGACAACTGCCAGAATCAGCACTTGCAACATACGTCTACTTTCCTCCCTATCCTGTACACTGCTGTGTTCCTGGTGGGCATTGCTGGCAACGCCATCCTGATAGCAGCCTTGGTCTTCAAGCGACGGATCCAGAGGGTGATCGACATCTTTATCGTCAACCTCGCTGCATCCGACTTCATCTTCCTCATTACGCTGCCGTTCTGGGTGGACAAGGAGGCATCGGACGGGAGCTGGAGGGTAGGATCTTTTCTCTGTAAAGCTAGTTCCTATGTCATCTCGGTCAACATGCACAGCAGCACCCTCCTCCTGACTTGTATGAGTGCTGACCGATACCTTGCTATCATGTATCCCACTATCGCTAGAAGGGTCAGAACAAGATCCTATTCCAGTGGACTCTGCATCTGTGTCTGGTTATTATCCTGTGGCTTAGGGATGCCAACCCTTTTGTCCAGAGAACTGAAGAAGCAATATGGAAAGACTTACTGCACAGACAAAGCCGTGACAGAAGGCAAACAGATCATGTCACTGATGCTTTTAATCCTGGCCTTCTTCTTCCCACTGTTCAGTATCTTAACCTTTTACTGCTCCATCACCAAGAGACTCTGTGTGCATTACCAGAGAGCTGGGAAACATGATAAGAAACTGAGAAAATCCATCAAGATCGTCTTCATTGTAGTGGCAGCTTTTGTTGTCTCCTGGCTTCCCTTCAATTTTTTCAAGCTTATGGCCATCCTTCTGGGACTCCTGAAGCAGCCCGACTGTTTTCCCAACACGGTTGCCCAGCTGGGCATGAAGGTGAGCAGCCCTTTAGCTTTTGCCAACAGCTGCGCCAACCCTTTCATTTACTATTGCTTTGACAACTACATCCGCAGAGCCATGCTCCGGTGCCTGTGCCCATGGGTGAAAAGCAGCAGCAGTGGCAACAGCTCTGATACTCTGGACACTCGCCTGAGCTACTCCTTATCCAATTTTCTTGCGGGGGAGCATGTTGCGAGGAAGAGGAAGCGCTCTGTGTCCCTTTGACTGGGAGCCGGGACGGCGGAGGAAGGAACATCTCTCTCTAAAGATGGCAGGAAAAGAATAAAGTCAGAGAAACGGAAAAAAAAAGAAACGAGAGACAGAGACAGAGGTGCAAGTGTAAGGCAGCCAGCACTTCAGGTGGGAGGAACGCTGCTTCCCTTTAAATGTAGATAGACGGAATGGGAAACATTAACCACAGAATTACGGTTCGCAACGATGGCTGTGTCACTGCACGGTGTAAATCTGAAACCATTGTACCAAGAAATATCCACAAACGCTTGCACTGGAGCCCTAGTACAAGTGCTGTGAACTACAGAAAAGAATCACATGATTCAGCCAAAGCCGCTCTGAGGCAAGCTTTGAACTTAACTGTATATAGTTTTTTATGCTGCGCAGAGCAAGAAAAACAACACAACAGAAGTGTTTCTTCTCTTCGGTTCCTCGGTTACTCACAAACATGTCGCAATGTCCTCAAACCAACCTGATCAATTCTGGTTTTTTGGAGGTTTTCTGAATTTAGCACTCCAGTGTTTTAATGAATTTCCGTGTTACCAGTTCTCGTAACTTGAGGCTTGTCCATTTTTATTTTAAGTTTTAATTTTTCTTTAAGTCGTCTTATTATGGCATTAAATCTTAGTTTTAATCACAATAATTAAAGTAAGTTTCTAGCCCCTGTGATTTCAGAAAAAAGATAACTTGAAGGCAGAGAAACCAGAAGACAAGTAAACGAAATCCTGCATTTAACCTTTTTCTTCAAGGGAAAAAAACAACAAAAAACCACTCCTGCTTTTTAAGACCTTTTTGAGGATCTGACACAATTTCTGACCGCTTGGGTTGTCGTATAACGGTACGACATTGTGTGCCATTCCAAGTCCAGGTCTGCTTTGTTGAGCTGTAACTGGTTTATGTAAAGACATATGCAGTAGGGCTACTTTCTCCCACTGGAGTCAAAGTCAAATGCAAATGTGCCTGATAAGCAAAATTAGCCAGAGTTTCACAAACATTTGAGAGAATGCTGAGAAAACTTGGGTGCAGGGATGCTCACAGAAAAGGAATTCCAAAGGACCAACGTTTTAGTTCATTTACAGAGTCGAACTCTGTAAATAAAACAGCTCTATAAAGTCGGCTCATTCCTATCCAGCAATCTTTGGGAAATGCAGAAGTCTTGCATTTAATATGCTGTGGGGAAGGTATCATTTGCCCGACTGGTGTCAAGTCTGACAGCAAATGGGGTGGGGAAACAGAGAAAGCTCCCTGTTTTTAACAGCTGCAGTACCTCCTAGATTTACAACCTGAACAAATGTGGAGCAAGGAGTTAAGCAGCTCGTCAGAGAACTGGTACTGGACTTTTATAAAGCTGATTACATCTATTTTATTAAATTTTTCATATCCTTCTAAGTGCAAATGATTGATAGAAATGTTTGCTTACAACAAAGAAACCAGGGTACTATGTTTTAAAGTGCACAGTTAAAAAAAAGTATGAAACTTCCAACAGCACTGGGAGACCTTGGCTGTGTTGCAGTATCTCATATTGTTGTATCTCGTTAAATGTATAGTTTACTATAATACAACTTGTCATAAATAAAATAAATCAGTATCATAAAGCATCCAGGATGTGTAACGTGACTAAGTCAATAGACTGAAACTTTCCTTTTCTACTTCCTGATTTTTAAAGATTTTTATCTCTTTTCTCTTTTGCACTTAGCCTTTGAAGCTTTTCAACTAGCTTTCATGAAACCCACAAAGGTGTTGACTAGAGGCAGAAGTCATCTTATCACTAAGTGACATAACAAAAAACATGGAAAAAATCTTGAATTGCAATAAGTAAACGATTTTTAGTGGTACTGACAGCCCTGTAAGATAAAGCAAATTCAGCTCTGCCAATGAAAGAAAGAGTCAGCAAATACGCATCTTGGAGTCTACTTTTTAAGAAGTAAAATAAGCTGGTAACAACTTGCACGCAATCTCTTATACAGCAAACCCCGTATCATTTTCCTGGGCAGTAGTGTTTCAAGTTAAGTTGTAAGAGTTTGGTTCTGTGTTCCCTTCTCCCAGCTTTGCCAGGGAAGGAATAAGCTGGCACACAAATCCATACTGTAATTGACCAGAGGGACTCGGAGACAACTCTCTCATAAACAAAAAGACTTGCAGCAATAGTCCCTGGATCACTTTGGTCACCTTAGAAGAGACTTTTACATTTCACTGAAGCTAAGAATTGTCTTCTAGACAATCAGATGCAGGAGATTACTCCTAGAATAACAACGAGGCATTTTATGAATTACGGAAAGTTACTTTTATTGTAATCAGGGATTGGTCTAACTGAAAAACTGCCCTCTACTTGAGAAGATGGCACAGTGAGTTCTAGGGTGAATGGTTACACCCATGCAGACCTGCTAAAAGGCTTCAGAGGGAAGACAGCTATGCCAGCTAACAGAATTAATGAAAAACAGAGAGAAATGGGCAAAGCCTGAAGACCTGACTACTGTCTGGACAGTAGGGGAAAAAAAATTGTAAACTGAATGACAGCAGAGGTATCCCTCTGATGTAACTGCAGCATGAGTACATTCACTATAGCTTTTCTTTTCACACCTCTGTATTTTCTAAACATCTGTAAATGGGGATGACGGGAGTTACAAATAAGTCCTGCTATTTGCATTTTTTATTGAACCTTGCGGTCGTGCTGTTTCATGTAGGCAGAGAAACGTACCTCAGCCAAGGGCAGCGCAAACCTAGAAACCGTGGCACGGACGTCTTGCCCAGCTCCCCAGCCAGGTCCCTCCCGTCCCCACAGGCTAACAGAGCAAGCCCTCGCTGGAGCAGGTGGAGAGCTGGCACTACAGGATCAGTGGAGGCAAAAGCATCTTTCGGCAATTGCTGGTGCCACTGGGTGCTCGCTGGCACACAGTAAGATACTGGGATACGTGCCTGGGCTACAAGGGGGGCATCACAGAGACACACACTAGCTGTTTGCTCTCCCCTCCCTTCACTGCATGCATTTTTTTTCTCCCCCACTACGTCTTCTAAAAGATTTCGGTTTTCTTCCTTCACATGACAGCCTCTTCTCCCCACGCCTAACGGCCAAACTCCTTTTTCAGTCTTAGAAATGCATGAAGAGCATCAGCTGTGTTTTCAGACTTTCCGGTGTTTGAAAATCAGAACAGCGCCAGTTCAAATTTTAATCTTATTTGCAGTGACCCTCAAAAACTACTGTCTCAATAGTCTCTCCTCAATCTCTTATCCTCCCTCTACCTTTTCTGGAACATAACAAGAGACTTGGTTTTTTAATTACAAAAAGAAGCCTAAGACGTGCATTTCAACTAACCTATGATTTTTAGTACAGAAAAAATTCACATCTTAGTAAGTCAGACTCGTTCATTATTTCCTCAATCCCCACCCAAAGCAGAACAGTATCTTTGGAACATAATCAATCTACAAGACTTTAAATAATTTTAAGTTAGGGCTGCTGGTTTCTTTCTTTCCTTTTTTTTTTTTTTTTTTAAATACTTCAAAATACCAGATCAAATCGGAACAATGACGAAGGAGATCTACCAAGATCTCCTGCCATTGCCTAAAGCTTTAGTACTGGCATCTGGAAAAAAACAAATACACTTGCTAAACATTGCCAGGCTTGAAGAGAATCACACATACATGCCACAGCAAATGCTCAATATAAGCAAAAAATAATACAAAAGAGGCAACTAATTCAACAAAGCAAAACTCTGGATTCTTTTAGGCTTTCATCCAAAAGACTGTACCCTAAGAAGGTGCTTATTTTACTCTTGTAAACTGCAGATCTATTTGACACTTTCATGACAGTGTAAATATTCTTTTCAATGCTTTCTTTCAAAGAAAAGGCAACCTATGCTTGAGCAAACTTAGTTCTGGAATTTTGACTATTCCATGTTAATATTCGTTATTTGTTTGTTAGCACTAATACAGCTTAGGATGGTATCAAAATTATTGTGATTTTAAGTATTTAACCTGGTAGACTTGAGTAATGTAACAGGATGCCTATTTTATCTGTGTTAAACGAACTTAATGACTGTAAAGTGGTTTGCTATGTGAAATGGAAATGGTGCAATTCTGATATGGCACCTGCCAAAGATCTTGGTAAGTAATTTGGACTGGATTTTTTTCTCCCACTTTTATTATTTTGAAATAAATCCGATATGATTGCAGCTAAGAAATATGGTTTGGGTTTTCTGTGATCTAACTACTCCTTTCATTGTCATGAAAAGCTAGCAAAGCATTACTAGAAAATCTGTCAGCAGATCTGGATGGGAACATTTATCTGCCCATCCCACAAACCTTTTCATGATTTCAGAGATGCTTTTGTACTATCTTGGAACGAAATCAAGACCTTTTGAAGTTTTTCATGAAAACAGCTACACCACCAGCACCACCCCCAACAATCTAGAGGTTGGTGCGCTTTCCTGAGATGTGCACAATCAAAGCTGAAGTGCCTCTGCATCTTGATATGTATCAGGACCTGGTTAGGTGCATCTCTTGGTCTCCATTTTGGCTTCAATGAATCAGCATTTTTCAGAAATAAAGTATTCCATCTCAACACAAAGAGAAATTGTACCCAGATCTGATGCTAACTTAAATTGGCAAAGAATTTTTGCAACCTCCATTTCAGCACCAGATCATAGAATCATGGAATCGTTAAGGTTGGAAAAGACCTGTAAGATCATCAAGTCCAGCCATTAACCTAACACTGCCAAGTCCACCACTAAACCATGTCCTCAAGCACCACGTCTACCCATCTTTTAAATACCTCCAGGGATGGAGACTCAACCACTGCCCTGGGCAGCCTGTTCCAATGCCTGACTACTCTTTCAGTGAAGAAGTTTTTCCTAATATCCAACCTAAACCTCCCCTGGCACAGCTTGAGGCCATTTTCTCTCATCCTATCTCTTGTTACTAGGGAGAAGAGACCAACGCCCCCCTCGCTACAACCTCCTTTCAGGTAGTTGTAAAGAGCAATAAGGTCTCCCCTTCAG